GCAAGTTAACAGCATGTTTACAGAGAGAAAACAATACAAAAAGGAAAGGAGATGGACCGTGTCGCACCCCCCCAGCAGCACACCTGGGAGGATGCAGCGGGCACAGGCATGGCTCCGAAAAGGCTGCAGGAGTCCGGGGCGGTAAAGAGACAAAAGAAAAAACAGCGGGATGAGGCTGTTGCTTCGATTGCAGGTAAGACAAGTATTTAAATGGGAATTCTTAATTTTTTATCTTTTTCTAATTCTAAACACGTGTGGTGAAGTTCAGGGGTCGTTTGACCTAGCTTAAATTCGGACTTGTTACTGCTGTTAATTCATCTGTTTTTGGTCCAATTTTGTCGAGTTTGGTATAAGCATGCTGCTTGTCAGGACTTTTATTTGGTGTTTTTCGCACTCTGCTTCCGTACATTTAACGTTTTGACTCCATCTGCGTGGTTTGGGCAGATGTTGTTCTCTCTGTTAAAAGTATAATGCGCCACTCTGTCCCGCAGCCTCCCGTCCACCTACCGGGCGTTCATCAGCAGCTGAGTGAGAGAGGCTGAGAGGGAGAGAAACTCAGAGAAGCTTTAGAGCTTTTTTACTGCTGGAGAAAAAACGTAGCAAGTCATCATCTTCCTAAACGCAGTTATTCTCTTCTGAATCAGCGCTTCTTTAAAGAAGAAATAGTTAAATTCAACAAAGGGAAATCAGCCTGTTCATGCGACTTGTATAAAAAACAAGTCTGAACAGTAATGAAGGTTGTTCATCTAAAAATAGACCTTGAAGAGTTTGAAGATTTTTTTGTTTTAATAAGTTCATCTTAAAACGTATTTCTCAAGTAAAATAAAGTTTCCTCTGTGGGGTCAGATAGGTCCATCTGTGCTGTTTTGTAACAGAAATAAACAAATGAATCATATTTGTCCACCCAAATACTTAAATATCACAAAAACAGGAAGGACAATAACACCGTCAAGGTAAAGTAAGACATTTTATTTTTAAATAAGCGGCTGTTTATGATTAATCATGACTTAACTATGGACATGATTTACATCATTATTAAATAGCCCATGTGGCCTATAGGCTATGTAACTGAGATTTAATATGAAAAGTTAGACAAACCTATTTTCTAATTAGGTATTTGCTCCATGTTGATATATATTTCATAAACATTTACGGGCCAAGTGGAACATCAGCTGCTGATGGTATAATTTGAAGAAAAATGTCCATTATGCTAACCTCCTCCCTTCATATTCAGAGTTTTCTAGTTGTGTATAAAATGTGTGTATTGTGCCTCTCTAGTTCTTAATAAAGGTTAAATACAGTTGTGGTCAGAAGTTTACATACACTTGTAAAAAATACAATATAATGGCTCTACTGAGTGTCCCGTTATTTCTAAAACTCTGATTTATCTCTGATAGAGTGATTGGAACAGATACTTCTTTGTCACAAAAAACATTCATGAAGTTCGGTTCTTTAATGTCTTTATTATGGGTTAACAGAGAAAAGTGATCACATTTGCTGGGTCACAAATATACATACAGCAGTGCTAATATTTGGTTACATGTCCCTTAGACATTTTCACTTCAATTAGGCGCTTTTGGTAGCCATCCACAAGCTTCTGGTTGAATCTTTGACCACTCCTCTTGACAGAATTGGTGAAGTTCAGTTAAATTTGATGGCTTTCTGACATGGACTTGTTTCTTCAGCACTGTCCACATGTTTTCAACGGGGTTTAAGTCAGGACTTTGGGAAGGCCATTCTAAAACCCTTATTCTAGCCTGATTTAGCCATTCCTTTACCACTTTTCATGTGTGTTTGGGGTCATTGTCCTGTTGGAACACCCAACTGCGCCCAAGACCCAACCTTCGTGCTGATGATTTTAGGTTATGTTGAAGAGTGTGAAGGTAATCCTCCTTCTTCATTATCCCATTTACTCTCTGTAAAGCACCAGTTCCATTGGCAGCAAAACAGCCCCACAGCATAATATTCCCACCACCATGCTTGACTGTAGGCCTGGTGTTCTTGGGGTTAAAGGCCTCACCTTTTCTCCTCCAAACATATTGCTGGGCATTGTGGCCAAAAAGCTCGATTTTTGTTTCGTCTGACCACAGAACTTTCCTCCAGAAGGTCTTATCTTTGTCCATGTGATCAGCAGCAACCTTCAGTCGAGCCTTAAGGTGCCGCTTTTGGAGCAAGGGCTTCCTTCTTGCACGGCAGCCTCTCAGTCCATGGAGATGCAAAACACGTTTGACTGTGGACAATGACACCTGTGTTCCAGCAGCTTCTAATTCTTGGCAGATCTGCTTTTTGGTGATTCTTGGTTCACTCTTTACCCTCCTGACCAATTTTCTCTCAGCAGCAGGTGATAGCTTGCGTTTTCTTCCTGATCTTGGCAGTGATGAAACAGTGCCATGCACCTTATACTTACAAACAATTGTTTGCACTGTTGCTCTTGGGACCTGCAGCTGCTTTGAAATGGCCCCAAGTGACTTTCCTGACTTGTTCAAGTCAATAATTCGCT